CATAACAAAAACCCAAGACCACAAACCTGTTTACTTGAGTATTTCATTCATCTCCCTCAATTGTCCCTTTCTTTTCACTCATTTTCCTTTTCATTTTTCTCTGGCTTTTTTTATTTAAGTTCTACCTATTTCTCATTCACAACTTATTTTCTTCTCCTGCCTTGACATATCCTACAGCTTGGGAAAGACAAATGTGTCAGAGACCTGTTAGGGATACCCAAGAAAAACACAGAGATCAGTTAAAGGCTTTTAGCATGCTCAAAATGGCTGTCTGAAATCTGTTGATTCATACATCCTGCATCTGTGCTATCTTTACAATAAAGGAATCTCTGGTTCCAGTAGTCAATGATGTCACATTATATGCTTTTCCTTTGCTGTCCTCAATTCTGTTATTATATGGAAATGAACAAGCACTTGATATCTATATTGCATGTGTCTGTAACACTTTTCACAGTGCACACAGATATTCTAGAACATTTTGACTCTATGCAGAAGTTCTGATTTATATGTAAAGAATCCTCCCATTTTTTATGGGTATTATGCAAGTTTCTATAAATTTGTAAAGTAAGAATCTATTATTGCATTTGATCAAATATGAAATCCACTTTTTTTCCCCCTTGTATATTAGATTTTAATAAATTTCTAATATATATGCAAAAAGAAACTTGTTTTGAAGAGAGCCAAATGGAGAAGATGGATGAATTTCCAATAACATTTCATGTATCATTCAATAAGTCTTTTCTTAATATTCTCAAATGGGATGTGATCTTATATTCCATCATATATGATACTTGTTTGCAGTTGTGATGGCAATAAAAATATTAACAATGATAATACAAGCAGTTCAAGTAACTATGAGTTTTGTCTACATCTGACCATAGTAATAAAATCCAGTAAGCCACTAACAGATAAAATTACTAAGCTTGTCTAAGCTGAATGTGATAAGCAATGAAAGTATGCGTCCTTCTGTGAAGTAAGCATTCGACTACAAGTGGACATTATGTGAAGCATGTGGCACTGTGCCAACTGTTCCTATATAATCATTGAGATCTCAAGATTGATATTGTAAGATATTTATATCAACCTGAGTTTTCTCAAAGTGCAAAGATTTTTCTTTGGCTATCCTTTAAAAGAAAGTCAAAAGAAAGATATCAGACTTAGACTCAGTGGAAAACAGAGAGCGATAATTGAGCAGTACTAATAAGAATTAGAAAATGTTACCACCCATGTGAAACACATGTGGAGAAGTTAATTTGATTTTTCAATTTCAACTGAGAAGGGTACCTACAAGTATTAGTATCATATATAAAATTTATGATCTTATTTTAATATTATCTCAATTATGACAATTTTTCCATAAATGAAATATCAAAATTAATAATAAAATGAATGGAAATACAAATAATATAGTAAAATGTAATAAATGTAGATAAAATTATAGTATTTTATGTACATTTCCAATAAAATTTCATAAGAAAGGTACCTATAAATTAATTAGATACCTTTCTTATGAAATTTTATCTCACTCTCAACAGTCTTATTTTAATTTTTTTTTTATATATTTTCCATTGGGCATCGTAAACATAAGTACAAAAATAACAAAAAAAATTACAGTACTGAAAGTTTTCCTTAAAGATAACGAGGTAAATAAGTTGGTTAACTTAAAACTAAATAATTATGTCACTTCTGTCCTTCTATATAATAACTTTCCCTCATGTAAGCTGTTAATATGTGATGAAATCATCACTTGTCAATTGACAGCATTGTTAAGACCTGCTTCATCGTCTTTTCAAACTACACTTTTTTGGTGTGGAAAGTAAGTAATGTTTGTTTCAAAATATTTTAAATAAACTGTATAATTTATAATTTTCTTAAAATAAATTTTGAAAAAAAATTATAATTGATTTTTAAAAGAATTTTAAATGGAGAATTTAATTTTGTTCACAAAATAGAAAACATGGTTGACATGATCAATTTTCTGTCAATTTTACTGACTCAAAAAAAGAAAAGAAAATTTTAACGAAAATTTCAGACATGCTAGGAACAATTAAAAAATACCCCAGAAATACTTTTATCTTTCCTCTTAATAATAACAACAAACATTTAGATAATAATAAATTATTTTCATCAAGTTTAAGGCCCTTTTTATTCATGTTATGCTCTTTATTTAGCAATCTCATGGAGATACCTAGTTAAACCATATTATCTTCCTTTTTCTGTTTTTAGATTTGTTAGATGTATTATTTTTCAAATTTTCTTGATAATTTAATGCTTGTGTAAAATTACTTTTTCTGAGTGCTTGATTATAAATGAATTTATTTTCACTAAAGATTTTGCTGCTTGATGATATTCTGTCTCTTCTTGCTTTTCTTCTTTCCTCTTTTTTAATACTGTTAATACTAGGATCAATAGATTATCACTCTTCTTTCCTCATTATCATTTGCTCTGTTCATACACTGAGCTCTCTCTGGATCTGTATTCTCCTTGGAATTATCCATACAGATTACCAAATAATATATATATATATATATATATATATATAAGTGAACATTGAAGTCAACACTTAGAGGCGACAGGCTGTTTCATGCTAGACACAACCATCAGGCTACTAAGTTTTAAATAAATTGAGATATGTGACCTGACAATTACATCTAGCATGAAACAGCCTGTCACCTCTAAGTGTTGACTTCAATGTTCACTTTTATATTTACACACAGTCTATCTCTGATATTGAGCACTTTAACCCATAAATATAGCACAGCTTAAGACTATATATATATATATATATATATATATATATATATATATATATACATACATACACACACACACACACACACATATACATACATACATACATATATTAACAATATGTATTCATTTTGTTCCTCACCGGTAATGCTAGTTTTATGCACTATGCAATCATTAGGTGTAGGTTGGAAACTGATTTATGAAATTTAAATATTGGTATTTATACCATACTGTTATGATAGTGGAGTAATCCATTTATTTATTTTGAAAAAAACCTTACTTATTATAAAACGCAGATTGTGTGTGTGTGTGTGTGTGTGTGTGTGTGTGTGTATCTGTAACGTTTATATATTGGATTGGATTTCCTACATTTTTCAACCGATTTCAACAAAACTTCACAGGACTACATAAAATTACCTTGTGGTGGTTCTAACAGCGCCAAAAAATGGAAAAAATATAATTGTTTTTGCACAAAATCAATTTGAAAACACGATTAAGAGACATCATTGAAAATGGAAGGGGACAACTCACATCGGGTTGTTTGTGTGTGGCTTCCTTTAAATATGGGAACGGATTTCCTATATTTTTCATCCGATAAAACAAAACTTCACTTTTTTTTTTTTTTGGCAGGTAGTCTTTCTTATTCTCTTGCACACTTTTTTCTTTATTTTTAACATTCAGAATGCTTTAAAAATTCCATTTACAAGACAATTACTTATAATAAAATTCTATTCAATCGGGAGATTCATAATGATTGAAAACAATGTTTTTGTTTGAGTTTGGGTTTGACCAATTCCTAAAAAAAAAAAAAAAAAAAAAACTAATTAAGACATGCGTGTCCATCAACCTTAAACAATAATCTAACGATCTCTACTGTACAAATACAAACATCAGATAAATTCTTTATCTTTAGGGAAAGATAATGAAATCTAAACATACACAAGTCCTAACTAAAAATAACCGGAAACTACTTTAAATACACATGGTGTCCAATTTTTTTTACTGTATTCAATAAGTAAAAATCATAAATTGTAAAAGATTATTATATATTACAGAGAAGGCTACTAAATGAATAAGATTTTTTAGATCATAATTAATAAACCCAAATAAAGTTAATGTTTTTTGTATTAGAAACGAGTGGAAAATATATTCAAATCAGAATTCTAATTATGAATCACCACAAGCAAAATATGCAATTTTTATTACTGTATTCAATAAGTAAAAATCATAAATTGTAAAACTAAAAGATTACAGAAAGGCTACCTACATTTTCCAACCAATTTCAACAAAACTTCACTATTTTTTTTGGCATGTAGTGTTTCTTATTGTCTTGCACACTTTTTTCTTTATTTTTACATTCAGAATGCTTTAAAAATTCCATTTACAAGACAATTGTTTATAATTCTATTCAATCGGTAGAGACTCATAAATGTTTTTGTTTGAGTTTGACCAATTCCTAAAAAAAAAAAAAAAAACTAATTAAGACATGCGTGTCCGTCAACCTTAAACAATAAACTTTGTCAATTTTATTTTTCAGTCTTTATGATGGTGGATACTTGATCTATCTCTTATTGTTATATACACTTACATTAAAATTTTACAATGGTAAGTTTTCACTTTGCAACTGATGATTGCATAGTGCATGAAACTCAGAGTTGTGCTAACAGCAAGGAACAAAATGTATATTTATTTTAAGTATAAATTTTACCTCTGTTATTAAACATTGAGCACTGTTTTATTACACTGTGCTGATAACAAATATGGCACCAGTTTGTTTACATTGCGCAGATCAGTACAAAAATTTCAGTGATTACGCAGATCAGTGTTGACAACATTGTGTGAAAACTTTGTGTGAATTGATTGGACGGTTTTTGAAATATTAGAAAAAAAGTTATCTTGATAATAATTTGGCATGCAGTGTATATATAAATAAATTGCATGGACAAAGAAACCAGCATATAGAAAGAACATATGGTTTGATGAAGTGTTGATTTCTCAGTTCATACTATTTATATCTACAAATGCTTCATCTCAGATATTGAGTCCTCTTCCCTAATAAATGTAGCAAATTTATTTTAAACAATATATATTTTGAAAAATGATTTAGTATATAGGCATTTTATTCACTCCATCACAACTAGGCTTCTATATCTAGTCTAAGTCAAGATAAACAAAAGCTAATACAATAACTTTTTATCAAATGTTTCTTGCAGCTTCAATTGTTAGCTCTAAAGAATGAAAGTACTTACGGTATTCAATGCCAAGTACAATATCCCTGAAATACATCAAGGCTTCTTCCTGAGACAATGGGTGGTTTGTAGGAATTGTGAGCACCTCACTATAAAAAGAAAACAAAGAACATCTCTGATAATCAACTCAGAAAATATAAATATAGAGCAGTAATATTAATGCTTAACACAGGATACAAATAACATATAACTGTTAGCTTTTAACTACTTGCTATTTCCTGTACATAAGAAAAAACATGGCATTCAAAATGAGGAAAATAAAAACAGAAATGGATGAGCAAATAACTAAAATGAATTTTGTTAATATGTTATAAAGAAAATCAAAATATTTTCTGTGGAATGGTTAAATTTACAAGCCTGGTATAAATATTTTAACCAGTTTTCTATAAAGCTTTTTTATTATATAAAATGCCTCAACATGTTAGCAAACTAGTTTCATTACTACTGAGTAGTAAGTTTGGAGGGCTTCTTAATTGTGTCCTTGTGTCTAAATTAAGCTATACTGAGTGTCTAACTTTTTATTTATAGCATCATTATTCAGTCATCAAGACATTTTCCTTTGCTTTCTATATTTTATACTGCCTGTCAGATGAAGTGTATATTCCATCATAAAAGAATGTCTACAGATCTAATTCAATGAATTCTTTAAGGAATTCATTAGATATCTTTCATTTGTTGGAAGTGCTGAGCAGACAAAAAATTTGAATAGATTGAAACAAGTGATTTTCTGAAGGTGACAGATCTGGAGAATATATCAACTGCAGAATAACTTCCCATCCTAACTAATGGATGATCATTTGCTCATTTCATATTTTTAATAAGAGAACAGAATTTATCAGTAAGCAAAATTACTAGTCAAAATTTTAGACTTAAAAAAAATGGTCATTTTTTTTTTTACTAATATATCTTTCAAATGAACCATTGTAGAGTAACAGTATGTTCAGGTTCCAGCATTTGATAATAAAGAATCCCTTTTGAACACAGGCAAATACAAGGAAGAAGTTTTCTTAGTAGATTCAGTTTAAGATTTGATTAAAGAATGTCCTGTATCTAATTGTTATTTTCTTTGTTTTACATTCTCATAATAAATTCAGGTTTCATTGTCAATGACTATCTGGTCCAAAAATGGTTCTTCTTTGTACATAATTTGTAGTAGTATGTCAAGTTAAAAGCAAGTCAAAATATTTGATAATGCAAATGCTATAAATCCGGGAATTGGGGAGGAGAAGAAATGTCACAATCAAGAATCGTACATCCAATATCAATAAATCCCAGCACACATTGAATCACACTGTTCAATGGTCACATTCAAACTTCCCCCTGAAAACAGTGCTCTTTGTTTATATCAGTTATATGTTCATGCATGCAAATCACTGACAGTTTTAAAAGTCTTTGTCCCATGCATGCGCCATGACAGAATTACAAATGGCTGAACAGATCAAACATCAGAGGCACTTAGTATTGTTTAAGTTTAGGCCCTTTGGTCCCATTTCACTACATTTTTTTCTTAGCAAAAAGATAAAGAGGAGAGCTTAAACAAGGATTGATTTTCATTTTCTTAGCCTCAAGAGCAAAATATTTTCCTAGTTTCTGAATTTTTAAAGGCTTGTAAATTATGTACTATAGCTACTGATAGACGTCTAATTTTTCTGCAAGTTTACATTGAGGTTTTGTATCTTCTTCCAAAAGTCCCACCAGTTCTTCACTTTTGAAGTTCCAAGGCCTTATATTGGTGATCTCTGACAACCCAACAATAAATGAACATTACAATTTTATTAAGTTATGACTATTTTTAGATATTTTTCTTAAGTTTCTATGTTAGTTGCTAGTAGATTTGGCTCATTGTATCAAAATTTTACAATATATCTTCTTAGTAACACCTGATTTAAACTAACCAATTTAAACTTTTTTTAAAAAATTTGATTAGGTAATTGTTAAACAAAGGGATTAAGTAATGAAATTTTTTCTCATGTGATGTACATATATACAAAAATTAAGTTAGTCATTGTATTTCAACAATTAGTTTAGTTATTGTGTCAGAGTTACCTCCTCCTTGGCTCCTTAAACCGGAATAAAAAGGTCATTTCGACCTTGACCTCTCGGTTGTGCTCCCTACATGCTGTTAACCTTTGGTAGAGACTAGCAAGTTACCTCTTCAGTTTACTTATATTACAAACATAATTGTAATATACTTCTAGACATTTTTAGGCCTTAGTTCCCTTTAGCTAATCTCAACATTTTTTTTATATAGACTTTACTGTTTAGGTTACCCAATTCTCTTGCTGGTCTCCATTACCACAAGACAGTGACTTCTCACTAAATTTGGGGTCGGTGACTGAAACGGTCAGATACGCAGGCTCCTGGCCTTCATGGCCAGGAACGTTGATCACCGGGCTGCGTATTAAGTTACGCTCCTATTTTTTTTTTGTCTGCCAACTTGACGATAGTTGGAAACTTTCCTTTCTCTCTCTCTCCTTCGCCTATTACTTCTGGCTCCTTGGCCCTGTTCGACTATCGGCATTCCGTCCCTACTGGCTGCCTGCACGACATCCATAACCTTTCCCGTACACAACGTTTGTAATTATTACGGGAGGTTACTAATATCGGACTTGACCGGCAAACATGCAACGCCTGCACTGGACCTTTGACATGCCCGAACAATGCCAGCTCCTCTCTCCTTTCCAACACATCAAGTTGGCATCCCTGCCACGACCAAAATCAACTGCAACAACCAACAGCGATCATCCCTGCCATGACCAACATCAACTGCAACAACCAACAGCGATCATCCCAGCAACGACCAACATCAACTTCAACTACAGCAATCACCTGCAATGACCAGCAGCGATTATCTGTAACACGGCAACAACCAACATCAACTTCAACTACAGCGATCATCTCTGCAGCGACCACCTGTATGACCAACAGCGATCACCTGTAACGACCAACCTCGACCATCAATGCCTGCACTAGAACATCTGCATTTCTACCGTTTCGACCACCTTTATTTCTTTTTCTAGAATAAATTAGCATATATCATATATATCCTCGTTCTGTCATCTATGTTGTTTCACCTTGTCAGATTTAATGTCTTCGAAAAATGTTAGCGGGCCTCTTGTGACCTCATCACCCTTTTGGTGATACGGGGGTGCTCGGGGGGTCCGCTACAATTGCTTTGGTAAGTGTTAGAATGTGGAAAAACAAAAGTCAAGTAATTCTGTAATGATAGTGATGAATTTGTGATTATTTTTGCACCATTAGAGGCAATTCTAGCTGGCAAAACACATTACTACATGAGCTAAAAGAAATTGTGCATATATCTACTCCACTGCCAAAAAAGATTGCATTAACGTTTAAATATTTAATATTAAAATAATCAGCTGTTTCAACTTATGGTGAGTTAAAAGAAGAAATTATTTTACAGTTGTTTATTTCAAAGTGGATAAATTACAGCAGTTATTAGCTACAGAAAAGGTAGCAGAAATCTACTTAACATCTACAATAATTGAAATTTTTATGACATAAATCAATATTATTGCATCCTGAGAGATATACACCAAATATAATCATCTGTGGAAGATATCTTAAGATAAATTTGCAGAGACGACTAACAAAATTATGGATATTTTGACTCCAGGCCTGTCTGTATTCAGTCCTACCTTTCCAGAAGATTAACCTAATTGAAACTGATATAAAATTGACTCAAAATTTTTTTTAAATCCATCCAGTGAAATCTTTTCTGTATAAAATAACACACATCATAGTGGATAACAATTTCATAGCTGATGTAAACTTCAAATTTATATTACTGATATATGACTTCTAGTTCTAAAGCTCATATGTGCAAATTTCCATGTTTTTTTTTCAAAGAAAAAGATTAACTCTGCAGTTTCTGAGTCAGTGCTTTGAGACCAAATTGGTTATTTTGTATATTCACTTGAACTGGCTGGAAATTTTTAGCCAAGAGTGAAACACAAATAAGGCCAGTTCCTTCGAATTAACATGATAAAAGTAAAAGATCAAGATAAATTTACAATCAGTGAATAAATTGATTCTTTACACATATGGCCAACAGAGCATTCAACTAAATCTTGGCTTAAGTCAACCTTAACTGTGGTCATTCATGATAGTAGACTTTCTTGATTTTTTTCATTATTTTGGACTGATGATCAGTCTTAAGGAACAACAGCTAATTGATTCTAAAATAAAACTTAAGTCAAAAGGGTGTTTTTCAATCAGTTGCTAAACTTAGCCCCAAAATAGCAGTTGCAAATCACAGTTAAGAATTTTCCCTTCTTTTTACAAGAATTTCTAGATATTAGAAAACTAAAGTTTAATAATGCCTTTGTCAAGCAGGATATAACACATATAATACATTATATTGCATCATAATACCTACTGGTTTTCAAATATCTATGACATCTTTTATTGGGCAAGTTGACAATAGCATTTCAATATATGTTGAAACTTGGTATAATTTTACCATCAGCTCATATTTGGGCATTACAACTTCACTTATAGCTCAAAAAAGCAGTTAACTCTTGGAGGCTATAATAATTTTTACAAACCAAATAATGTTACTGTTCCAGATTGCTAGCCAGTTACACATATTCAATATTTTACACCACAATTGAGAGGAAATTTTATCTTCTATTAGAAACATCAGATATTCCAGAAACAGCTATTACAATGCCTAACTTTTACATTCACCTTTTGAACTGAGAAACATTGCTCAATCTTTTTAAAGATTTATGAATCATAGTCTTCATCATCTAGGTTTCACTTTTGATTGCATCATAGTCACTAGTTCTTCACTAGAAAAACGTATGACACGTTTAAGGACAGCTTCTGAGTGTTTTTGAAAATATGAAATAATCATAAATCTAATTTACTGGGACTGAGTCAAGTTCCTTGATCACAAAATGACTTTATCAGGAATTTGCCAATTTTTGGACAAAAAGTGAAATGATACTTGTATGTACCTGAAACTTGAGTTATGTCAAATCTTGGATATGTTGAATTTTTGTCATCACTGCAGTCTCTAATATGCTGAAACATCTGTACTTTGAAAGATATGTTGACAAAAAAA